AAAACACTCCCTGACAGTTGAGCATAACTTAGAGTTCCTTTTCTTAAAAACAGACCTCAAATTGAAAATGGTAAGTGATGATAAAGTAGGATGTAAGAGTTATACACCTTCTGTCTGGAGAGAAAATGCCACAGACATGTAAACATTCCTACTTCCTGTTGCTTCCTATAGGAATTGCCTTTGGTTCTATTCTTATCTAGCATGGTACTACGCAAACAATCATGTCCTACCTTCCATATTGTATACCATCTGAGCAAAGAGAGTTCTGTTTAGGTGCACGCACACACACACACACACACACGCACACGGGCACACACACACACGGGCACACTGATTCCAGGTTTATGGTGTTGTAAAGTGTTTTAGTATCCTGTGTGATATTTTTTTTTTTTATAATCATGTTACATAGAGACATCAGGGCAGGATTATTGCTTCTGGATTCTACCTGCGTCTCAGCTCTTGAAGCTTTGACCCATGAGGGCAGGAGTAATGGGGCAAAGCGTGAGCCGCAGTTGCTGCAGACCTGCACATGTAACCCCTTGTTGAGTGTAAATATTGTTCCGATTTAGTTCTTGATAGTGACCAGTAAAAGAGCTTCCTACTAGAAACTGTTTCTTTTTTTGCTCCAGGTTTTGCATTGATCTATCAAATTTTCTGTCTTCAAGAATGAGGAGCTGCTGTCTTGTCACTGATTTTTCTTTTTAGAATGGCCTCCTTATTTGAAGTTTTAGCCTTAAATAATGCTGTTCTGAAAGAAGTGATGCAAATTTGAGGGACTGGCTTACGTGGAGAAAAGTAGCAGTGTGTTTGACTTCATTCAGTGGCAGTAAGGATTTATGTTTAAAGGGATAATAGTTTCTTTGGGTTGTGATTGGATACAATCAGCTGCCTGTGTAATAGCATGTAAGTACCGTAGCATGTAAGTACCAGTGCGTGGGTTCAGGGACAGATTGAAATGTTGCCAGAAAATAAATACTCGAAGGCAGCTTCAACTGACACCCGTGACCTCACCTTTATTGCCTTTGCCTAAAAGGGTGTTAATTTTTATCCCATGCGAGTTATTTGCAATAACATTGGACATCAGGATAATCTTGTTTTCTGCCTTTTTTCCTTTAGCTGATCCGTTTGACCCATTCAAAATGTCATCAGGTTCTGAAAATCCAACCCTGACTGGCCCTGATCTCTTTGGCGACTTCCTTAATCCAAATGCAACATCCTCATCCCGTACGTTTCCCTCCACACACAGCGCACCACCTCCTTCTTCTAGTTCAGACTTCTTAAATTTAGGTAAGTGCACTTTTGACATTTTCTGTAACTGTTTCTGTAGCTTCCCTGTGTTTGGGGTATTAGTTTTCCAGCTCAGTCGAGGTGGATTAGATGCTAACAGATCTTCTTATCTGGTTGCTAAATTTAATAAGATGCATGTTCCTGGTGTATAAATACACATGTCCAAGTAGTGAGGATTCCTGTATAATGTCACTTCATTAAGCCTTGGTATCGGAGTTTTGCTTGCATTGGTAACCTTCTGCTAATCCTGTGATTTTTAATTTTTCTTTGGGAGATGATGGGATAGAGAATAAACAAAACTTTGTTTTTCTGTTTCATTAAATTGCCTAGATTGCTAAAGGTAAATGCAATTTATATTTATATTTTAATGAGGTTTTTGGCATCTTTAAAAGACCATAAGAGAGGAAGTAGGAGTGGTTCAGGAAATGATTGATTTGCTGAATGTATACTTAAATCAAAGAGTCAATGCTTTTGTCCCAAAAGAATAGTTGTAGAATGTATTACATAATACTTTGGAGATCATCTTGTCCAGCTGATGATTTTTTTTAATCCAAGTACTCTAGGTAAATATGGCAAACAAGACTGTAGGATTTAGAGTTGCTATGAAATTATAGCAGAGTGTTTCAAAATTTTGTCTAACTCTGGACCAACTGTGTAGTTGGAATAATAAAAGATATCACCCTAAGAAATCCTTGCCTTTTGAAATTAGAGTCAGAAGGCACATAATATTAATTGCAAATAAGGGGGCCGGGGGGGGATTGGAATGCTAACTATTAATGGCTCTTCAACTAACATTAAAAGTAATTTGTCTTTCTGAAACAAATTTAATAGCATTTTATAAATTTTAGATCCTTACCTTTGGTAACAAATTTAGATTTTTCTCTCTAGTGAATTTAGGTTCTTTAAAAATTATTTAAATGATTTTTTCATTAAGTAAAGATCTGAATCAACTCAAACTGCAGAAATAAGACCACCTTACCCTTGAAATTTGCTG